CAGCAGTCAAGGAGGAAGGAAGAGACCAGAGTTTCAGAGTCTCTGCCAGGGGACACCTAAATGACCCTGCCTCAAGGTTCCACCACTTCTTGACCTAGCCACCTTAAAGTCGAGGACACCGTGATTCTGGAGGACAGTAAAGAGCAGATCCATAGCAGAAAACAGTTCCCAACGTCTAGCACCAGGAGGCTGCACCCTAGAAAGAGCACTGAAGAGCAGACAAATGAGCCTAGCGCATGGGCAGAAGGAGGAAAGCAGCTGGGTTAGAGGTGAGTATGCCAAAAACATGTTTGTAGCAGTCAAAAAATTGAAAGCTTTCAATTTCTTTCAAAGAAATAGGCAGTGATAAGTGGTTCTTGGGGGTATCTGAAGAGGAGGGAGAAGAAGGCAGAGTCGGGATTGGGATCTGAAATGAGGAATGGTATTGCAGGAGAGCAAGAGAGAAAATCAGGACCACCAGAAGACTTAGTTTACGTGACTGGCACAGGCATGAGGGGAGCAGTGGAGAACGGTAGGGTATATACACCAGGGACCTCTCTGCTCATCTGGAAATGTTCACAGACACAGATGGGCTACAAGAAAAAAATGGCTGAAAGAGAGGTGGAATCATTCAAGGCAGTTTCCAAAAACACACTAGATCTAACAAAAGATTAGAAATGTAGGAAAGGAAAAATGTCTGATAGTCGGATGATAGTTGGATATTGACCTTTGTTATAATGAGAAATCCAGTATTGATAGCAAGTGTTATCAATCATTATTGTCTGTCTAGTCAACAAAAAGCAAAGAAAGCCATCAAAGCGATTTTGTTAAATAAGTAATGAAATAGTAGTGTTTATGAACCTAATAGCCCTTTACATGTTTTAGAAACTTTAACTATGCATGTGTGTGTGTTTGTTTGTGTTGGGGTGTGTGCAAGTGAGTGTAGGTTCTCTGGAGACCAGAAGAAGACATCAGATCCCCCGGAGCTAGAGTTGCAGGGTTTTGTGAGCTGAGTGACACGGGTGCTGGGAGCCCTACTCAGGGCCTGAGCAACAGCAACAAGCCCTGTTAACTGCTGAGCCATCTGCCTGGCTCCTGAACCCAAGACTCTTTATGTTACACAAAGGGTTACACCACCAAGTTGCCCTGAAGGTTCCAAGCAGTGGCTGGACAGTCCAGTTCTATGGCTAAGAAATGCAAACTATGTATTGAACTACGGTAGGTACTACTGTCAATGGTCATAGGATAAAATGGGAGCACCTCGTGGGATTAACACAGAGGGGCGGTGCCTGATCATAGCAGGTGGCTCTTCCAGAAAGCTGTCCATTGCAAGGGAATCTGCCTCTGTGCTTCCGTGAAAATCTTCTCGGGAAAGACACGCTGAGCCACCTGGCTGGGAGCTTGCAATTTCTTTACACTCACAGGGGGACTTTCTGCTGCTCTGGAGCCAGGTGCCTTAGTGGCTGACTTTGTGAGCGGTGGCAACACCCTCTGTGCAAGGCCAGAGGCTCTGGTGGCAGTAATTACTGCCTGAGCTGTGTTTGCACATCTGCGGGGCCTCCTGAATTAAGTTTCAGCCAGACCTAGGTGCAAACCCTTCCCCCGCCTCTCTGTTTCCAGTGCCACACCATTAAAGGAAATGGGATTATGACACAAATCATCCATCACGTGACTCTAGCATAGAAGGTTAGTGAGATAGTGCAGGGATAATTCTGCGGCCGCCACGGCTCCTGACAATAATTACAATGTGACCACAGGGGATCACCTTCTAATAGGCTTTTGTTCGCTCAATTCAGGGTCTGTTGTGTGCTCCAGTTCGGATAATTAAAGTTGTGTCTCGAACACCACATGTGGTAGCTTGTAATTATGTAGTCCAGAGGAAGAGGACTCCGAGGTGATGGCTGCTCGAGCTAGAAAGAAGAATATGGACCCCAGTGATGAAGGAGAAAGAAACCAGTCCCCTCAGACAGGGAAAGAAGGTTGATGTTCACTCTCCAGTGTCAACGGCTTTATTTATTTTAAAATGAAAATGACTAATTACAGCCCTTTCTGGCCAACCCTTCACCCTCCACAGGGACCGTGGCTAACCCTGTCCTATGGCCTCCAACAAAAGACTAGGAACTGACCTGAGCAAGGAAGAAAATATAAATCACTTATTTATACCCTCTAATGGTTTGATTATTTAATCATTTGCATGTTGAGAGATTTACATAAAAGCAGGAAAAGGCCCATACTGGAATTTGGCCTAAATCTCCCCCTGATCCTCACTGGAGAACAGACCCTGAATTTTGCCTCATTTAAGCTCTTTAATTTTTTGTTAAATGTGGGCTTTGGAAAACTTGGATTTGCTTTTCAGAGACACAATATTTGAAAAGAAAAAAAGACTGTAGACTACATCCCATTGGACTGCAATTCCCTAGTTAGTCCCAGCTCTCCAAGAAAAAAAGTAATTTGTACACACACCCTTGAGAAGCCAATCTCCTGAGCAGATCGAGGGAGAAGGCGTTTTTTTGGCATGGGGTGGGTATGGGAGTGGGGTGGGGTGATGGGGGGGCGGGTGTTAGGACTAGCCCCAGATTGCCTGAATACTCAGTGTGTTTTCTAAGAGACAGTGTTTCATCGTTTTGTTAAAAATAGAAAACTGAACCCAGGAAGTCTCTTATCTTAAATCTTTAGAATGCTTGGAAGATTCTTGGAATTTACTTCTAAAGGGCTTTGAATTTCTGATCCTTAGAAATCAGGTTTCACTTTCTTCTCGCACAAAATGCGTCTCCTCCAAGTTTTTCTCAGATGGAGAAAAACCCCTCGTTCTTTTCAACATTGTAGTCTCTTTTGAAACACAGAAAATTTATTCGTTGCCAGTGTGGGAACAACAATTGATATTCAAAATGCTGCCCTTTCCTAAGGCTTCGCCTTCGTGAAAACGAAACATATTTCGCACCAGGCACCATATGGTGTTTGTGAAGAGTGGACACGCGGATGCTTCCTAATTAAAGCATTAAAGTTTGTCATGAGAAATGGCAGCGGCAGATGACTCCGGCTGGGTGCGTGCCTGGGAGGGGGTGGCTGGGACTGGATCCCAGCGAGGGGATGAAGTGGCAGGCTGACACCCAGCTCTGCAAACGCACTCTCTGATTGGTCCTCAGGGAGCGGATAATGGCAAGAGGCAGTTAATTTGAGGATAATTGAGAGATCTCGTTCCTGACTTCACACAATAAAACAAGGTGCCAGGGCTCAGCTGGCCGGTGCACTCTTGGCTGGAAGAAAGGGGCTTGGAATTGGTCAGGGGAGAGCTGCCTCTTCCCCTCTTCCCACACAAAGCTGGGGGAGCCCTTTTCCTGGGCTCCCCGGTGTCCACACTCCCACCCCCAGGCAGGCACCCAGGTTTATTGTTTCTACACATACATAGGTCATAAATACAAAACCTCCCAAAGAGGGGCGGTGTGATCTATTCTGGGAAAAAGGGCTGGGCCTCAGACATCTCTTGCCGGGTGCCATCCCAGATGGTGGAGTTTCTGTGAGAAGATAAACAGAGTTTTTCATCTCTCTTTCTGTCTGTCTCTGTCTCCCTGTGTGAACACAGCCACACACCTCGGTGGGGCGGGTCGTAGGATCTTTGAGGTCTCATTCAGGAGAAAAGGTTCCAAGTTTCTAAATTACCTCGACAAGAAGCTCTCTAGAAGGGAAGGGCTAAGGAATGACAAGAGAGGGACTTCTTTGTTTGTGGAGGTTTTCCTTCCAGTTTATCACCTTCCCATAAATTTACTCTTTTGATCAAAAATTCTGAGAAGCTCTTGAGTCAAGCGGGGGGGTGGGGGGGGGGAAGGCAAATGCTCTTATATCATTAGACTCAAATCCCCTTTACTCTCACGCTTGTGAAGAGTTACTGGAAGTGAGGATTACGTAAGTGTGAAAAAGAATTTCTTTATTTTTGTTCCCTCCTCGGGACTGGGAGGCTTAACGGCGACAAGCTCTCAGGTACAGCCATGACGAGGGGCACTAGAAAGTGGAGAACAGCTGTACTCACCATCTCATCTCTCCTTGGCGAACTCCGGGGGACAGAATTGAGGAAGTGGGCCCAGGAGAGCAATGCAGAGCGTGCAGGCATCAGGCAGCTGCCACGGGGTGCTCTGAGGGCGTGAAGGGCAGCGAGAAATCCAGGTTTAGTCATCTGGTTTCAAAAATACTCTTTGAAGTGAAACGTATTTTTGTTGTTATTCTGGTAAATTGCGCAAGTAGGTTTTCTTTCCCTGAACCCTAGCAGAGGGACAGGGGTGGCTTGATTCCAAAATGATCATCTTCTGCTTTGTTTCCATGGGATGTCATGATAGAACAAGGATCACTGTAGTTGGTAGGCCAATTTACAGACCCAGACTGTGAGAACAGTTGACCTCAACGGACATAAATATGAATGGAAGCGAATGTCTGGTGCTGAGGGAGACACACAAACAGCTTTGGTCTGCTTCACAGTCCCGCTCTCTTTTTGCCATGCTGTATATAAGTATGTACATGTGTTTGGGTTTTACGTTTATATGAAATAATATATGTGACATATAATAGTATATGTAATATATATTACACATGATATGTAATTACATATACAATTGTATGTCACATATATTATTACATATATATGTAAAACACAAATATATGTGTGTTGTGCGTTGCATACGTGTGTGTGCACACAAGTGTGTTTATGTTATATAATCGAGCGATCACATGCGAGAGAACATGGCATCTCCTAGGAGCTAGTGGCAGCATGGATGGTGAAGGTCTTAACGTCTTGAAGCCCAGATGATGGTCAGCTCAGTAAGACAGAGATGGCTCACCTGGAAGTCCCTCCTCAGCTATCAGAAGCACCTGATGGAAGGCATCCCTCAGAGCCAGGGTTTGCTTTTTTTGGTAAGGTTGCAAATACTGAGGTTATTCCAAAGAGAGCTTTCAAAATTCACAGGATATCAAATGAAAGAGGAAGAATCATGGCTTGAAGAGCTTTTATTTTCAGAACTTGATCACTACTCTTATTCTTTTTTTTTTTTTTTTTTTTTTTTTTTTTTTTTTTTTTTTTTTTTTTTTTTTTTTTTTTTGAGACAGGGTTTCTATGTGTAGCCCTAGCTGTCCTGGAACTAGCTCTTGTAGACCAGGCTGGCCTCAAACTCATAGAGATCCGCCTGCCTCTGCCTCCCGAGTGCTGGGATTAAAGGTGTGCACCACCACTGCCCCGGCTGCTAACTCTTATTCTTATACAATCCAGGATCTCTTGATCAGATAATGGCGCCACCAAAAGCTTGCAGATTGACTTACTAATCAAGGCAATTACCCCAGAGACATACTCACATAATCTAGACAATCCCTCAAAGAGACTTTCTTCACAGAAGACTCCAGACTGTGTCAAGATGGCAGTGAAAGCTAACCACTGCAGGCACTTTAGGGCTTCTAAATGCCTATCTATTGCCCTGAATGCCCTTGGATACAACTAAGTGTGTCTTACACACTCGGAGTGACTTTTGGGAGATGATGGAGATGTTTAAAGTCCTGAAATCTGGCCCCTGGACATTGCTGCAGCTCTGGGTCCCAGCTGCTGATACCTGGTAGTCCATTAGGGTCCCACAAGAATCCCTCATGGCAGGCAGGGGAGAGTGATTTGCCCTCTGGCATAGTTCCCTGCTGGTGGTCCCCGAGGTTGTATAAACATGTATAACTCTTCTTCTCGAGCCTACAGATGTGCCCAGGGAGTGGGGCTGGTGGTGGATTTGAGTGACTCCTATGATTCCAAACTCAGGCTTGGGATTTTGCTACTAGGTAAGTTTATCACTGTCTTACATTTATTATGCCAGAAACATAGACAAATACCCCTGTGTCTTTCCATAGTGTCAGAATTTATTGAATAGCAATAAATTCACAAGGCACAGCAGTTTCTTTGGCAGCAATTTGCTATAGAGTCCCAACTCTCTTGATTACCAGCCAAAGCAAATGCAGGCTCTCTCTCTCTCTCTCTCTCTCTCTCTCTCTCTCTCTCTCTCTCTCTCTCTCTCTCTCTGTGTGTGTGTGTGTGTGTCTTTCTTTCTCTCTTCTTCCAGGCAAAGTTGACTACTAATGTTAACTCCCAATTATATATCAAATATCCTGGAATAAATATATGAAACCCTGTCTCAGAAACAAATAAACAACACAACAATAACAAGCCTCCAAAGAGGCCAAGGGGCAGGTGCAGGAAGGAGACAGGGTTGGTAGAAGAATTTCTGGAGAAACAAAACAAATACTTGCTGGAGGTCCATTGGAGACACTGCCACAGAACCAGCCAGGGTCTCACAACTTGAGCCAATCTTGGGGGTCAAATTGAGCTGCAGACGTGAGGTATCTCGTCTGATACCTCTGAAGGCCATGGAAGCAAAGGGCAGAATCAGGTCCAGGCAGATGGACAGACAGCAATTCAGATAGGTGGCATCTTCAGCAGGGACTAAGCTGAGCTGAAGTATCCGTGGCAATCAGGAGTTCTCCACTTGTGTCCTTCGGTGTACACACCAGGTGGTCAGATGGGGGACTGGTGGGGCCATCCTCACTTCCAACGCTTCCCTCAGTCTGTTGTGTGTGAAGTTCTCAGGCCTTGTCTTCTTCATGTGACTTTCATAGACCCATGTGCTCATACGCTCCTAATTTGTCTCCGTAGATTATAGGATGCTGTAGTGGTTTGGATGAAAAACGTCTCTCATGGGCACTGTTTGGGGGAGGTTGTGGAACTTAGGAGATGAAGCCTTGCTGGTGGAAGGGTGGCTTTGAGAGTTTACAGCAGAGACTGGTACACGGCTCATTTCTAGAGACAGAAAGGGAGACATGAGTCTGCTGGAGAGTCCTGAAGCTGTAGGGCACCAGAGAGTAGGAACAGTCATAACAGGAATACAGATTCAAGAGCTTATAGGCTGCAGCATATTGAGGAAAAAGTGTAATGCCCTCACCTGGACCATAAAGGGATGGGCACCTACCACTCTGATGGCATGGTGCTACAGGGGCTATTACCTAATATCTGGTGCACGTGTGTGTCTTAGGGACCCAGGACTCCCCATCTTGAATCCATTCCCCACAGATGCCATAGCCTACTTAACTGCCTCTCTGTCCACCTGCTAACCTGTCTGCACCGGACTCTGACCCACAGTTTCCTGCACTGGCCTGGCTCCTGTTCTCAGTCTGGCTCTGGTTTTGCTTTTTCATAGTCTGACCCTGGGAGTTCCCCCTGGCAGTGCCCTCTGACCACCGACTTGGTTCTTTATATTCACAGACTCTTTCTCCGCCCACTTCTGAAGCCTCTGAGCTCGGTTGCAGCTGCTTTAACTTGTATTCATTCTGTAACACACACATGTGCACACACACACACACGGATGCACACGTACAGACTGATTTACTATGTGCTCTGTGGCATGAGAGTTAATATTAGTAATTAATATTAGTAATTAAGATTCCCATAAAAAAACTTGTGTTTGCCTCACCCAAGCCACCAAGGTGGGAGGGGTTATGACAAATATCTGTTATGATACCTGCCAAGCCCTGCGAATTCATTGTTATTCAGTAAATTCTGACACTGTAGACAGACACATGTGTTTGTGTTTCTGGTACACTGCACTCATAGCTGTGAGTATGTTCACATAAAAATAAAACATTAGATACCCCCAAATACTGTGCTCCCTCTTGAAAGAATGTACCTTTCAAGTTTTCTCCTGTAGATTCTACTGTGTATTACATTTATGATGAGGAATGATATTATATAGACTGGCCATATGTTCTCAAAGAATGTTGCAAAATGTCAAATAAATATGTTTGTATTTTCTTTACTAGCATAAGAAAGTGGCTTTGATTTTTTTCTTGTTTTCGAGTGGATATTTAGAAATCAATTTCTCCATTCTTATTATAATTTACAGGAAGGGATTGCAGAGCCATGAAAAGTTTGAAAAATGTCTCTAAATATCACTAAACTTTTCTATAGGCCAGCATTAACTAGTTACAAAATGAAGTAAAAATATGTCCATAGGCAAAGGCTGTAAGAGCCATAAATAGCTAACAACAAGAATTGTGTGAGATTTGTGTCAATAAAGGGATAAAACTTTATTGAAGGATATAAAACAAAACTGAATATCCCAAGTCACATAACTGGATGTCCGCATAGCAATTGTGCCTGTCATAAACATGCCAGTTATCTGAAAATTTACTCACAGTGGTAAGACAAGGATGACTAACAACCTAGTGAGGTTTTTAGGGAAGAAACTGGAAAAAATATTTTTTTTTTTTATGATCTGCAGCTCTAAGAGCAAAGAACAGCTAAGCTAACACCGAAAATGAAGACCATTTCTGGCTCCTGTGAAGGCAGAGGGTTGCCATGGCTGCTGGCTTTTCCCTCCTAGTATTAACCCTGGAGGAACTTTGGTTGCAGACAAAGACATGTGTTTTTGGAAACAATTGTGCTAGGTTCTTTCTTTCTTTCTTTCTTTCTTTCTTTCTTTCTTTCTTTCCTTTTCTTTTTTTGTCAACTTGACATAAACCAGAGTCACCTGGAAAGAGGAAACTCAATTGAGAAAATGCCTCCATCAGATTGGTCTGTAGGCAGGTCTGTGGGCATTTTCTTGATTGGTATGGGAGGACCTAGCCTACTGAGGGTGGTTCTGGATTGTATAGAGAGACTGAGCAAGCCAAGCCAAAGAGGGTGAGTTACCTGTGGTCTCTGCTTCAAGTTCCTGCCTTCGGCTTCCTGCCTCGGCTTCCTTCAGTGTCATCGGCACAGTGACTGCTCCTTAACCTACTGCTACCTCAGCCAGCAACTGCAATTCCCCAGTTCCTGGCCAGCTTCTGTAGCAGCGGCCCGGTAGGAATTCTGCTCCTGCAGGCACCAGCCCTGTTGCTGCCACTAAAGGTAGCTTTAACAAAACCTCTATCATTCTAATTATGAATAAGACTTGACCTTCAAAGGCTGGGGTGAAAACCTGTGAGCTTGGAGAGGCTGAGCAGCAACTAGCTAACTGGTCATTCATGAAAGACCTGTGCTTTGGCTACTGCAACTCCCACCCTACTACTTCCTGTCTCTCTATCTCTCCTGGATGCCCTCTGGTGCTCTATGGTTACTTTCTGTCAATGTAGTTAATGCAGTTGTTAATGTAGCCTCCTGATTAATTTTATTTAATTAATGCAAATACAAACTCAGGGTTCACAGTATGATCGAATATCCCCCAACATCAATAAAAACCAAATAAACCCTTTCCTTCCCAAACTGCTCTTGGTCGTGGGTTTTATCCAGCAATAGAAATATAACTAAGGCTGCTAACCAACCAAGCCCAAATAAACAAAGATAAAGAACCCCAAGCGGACTGAAATCGCTTTCTTCTCTCTGTCTCTGTTCCCCTTGCTCTGTATGTGCATGTGGGCATGTGTGCACGTGTGCACGTTTTGTGTGTGTTGGCCACAGAAGCCTAGAGAAAGTAGTAACAGCTGTGGACCGGAGGCGGGACATGCGGCAGCCTGTGCAGCTGGGTTAGGCCCTTGCTTTCCCGTGCAGCTTTCGGGCTGTCTGTCCAACCTGCCCCGAGGTCAAACAGGCAGGTTCTCCAACTCAGGCTCCTCAGGTACTGGGAACGTCTGGCAGAGAAAACAGTATTGGGAGGAGCCACTAATGAAAGGGCTTCCTCTCATCTCTTCCTCGTTTTGTAAAAGTCTCCAAACTGGATGATACATATGTGTGTGTATGTATGTACATATACATACATACATACATACACACACACAAACACACACACACACACAGTTTCCTACAATGATACTTCTTAGAGCTTGAAGGAACCCAGGTACAGCAAATACTGAGGATATATTAACTTAAAATATATTGATTACAGTAAATGTCTAAGGGCAAAACTAAGGTAAGAGTTCATCCCACAAATAGGGAAAAAGATAAGGAACACTCAAACAAGACGAAAGCAAACAGTACAGTAATGAAAAGGAGAAAAAAAGGAGGAAGAGGAGGAGAAGAAATAAATAAATTGAAAAAACCACACTGGTGGTAACTGTACTCACACACCTGCAGATGAGGAACAGAGGTGAGCTTAGGCCTGAGCTGCTTCTGTTAAATATTCCAGCTATTCATTCACATGTAAGAGTGCACATGCGCATATGCGGGCACACACACACACACCTAAATAATCAACAAAAATCATATGATCTACGAAGTGCTGTACACCAAATGTTAAGAGGAAAAATATGTATCAGACTTGAACCCAGTTAAATGCACAGAGATTTTGGAAATCTAAACCATCAAAATCAGTATAAAAATAACAATCTGCCAAAGAATAATAAATGTGAGAGGATTCAATATTAAAGAAATAATCATTAAAAACTGTCAGTTAAGCACTTTCTTTTAAAAACATGTCTAAGAGAACCACACTGGTAGTATCTACAATACTTGAAGAAATCATTTAATTCCCAATTAATAAAGTCATTCCAAAGAGCGTTTAGAAAGTATACAGCAGTTGGGAGGTGGTGACACACACCTTTAATATCAGCACTTGGGAAGCAGAGACAGGTGGATCTCTGTCGGTTTGAGGCCAGATTGGTCTACAAGAGCTAGTTCCAGGACAGGCTCCAAAGCTACAGAGAAACCCTGTCTCAAAAAAAAAAAAAAGTCTAAAGCTATATGTATATACATATATATGTATATATACATATATATGTGTGTGTTTATTGATTACATAGCTTTTGTTTTAAAATTATAGTGGAACTTTTATTTTGAAATGATTTTAGACATTAAAAAATTTGCTAAAATAGAGCATAGATAATCTTCATTTGGTTTTCCCAAATGCTAAGCTCTTGGTTAATCATAATAAAATTACTAAGATAACTATAGCTGACCTATTCATAGCTTATGTACAGATTTTATTCAGATTACACAAGCTTTCCCAGTAATATCTATGTGCTGTTTCAGGATCTTAGTCTGCCTTTATGTGTTATTTCTCTTTATGTTATGCCTTCTTCAATGGGTCACAGTTTACCTGTCCTTGCCTTTTATGGCTTCGATGTTGAAGATTAGTGGTGAGATATTACATAGACACCTCTTTGGTTTTTATTTTTTTTTTTGGTTCTCAGAAGGAGTTGATGCATTTTTGTTCAGAACACTTCAAGACCTATGTCCCCTGTGCTTCCTAATAATGATACACGGTTCCTCTAACTGGTAGTGTGAACCCCAACCTCTCGGTGGAAATGGTCTCCACTACAAACCCAATTTTTTCTCTTTGTGATAAAGATTTGGAGGAAAATACTTTGAGGCTAAGCAAATTCTATTTCTTCTTGAAGAATTTTTAGCATTCATTGACAGATCTTTCCTGGAGCAATGATTATTTGGTATTCTGAAGGTGATACTCAATTTCACTGACTCTTTGAAGCTTTTAATCATGATTCTGTGAGGAAGAACTACACTCCATCTTCTCCCATAAATTAATATCAACATAGTTTGGTCAAACATTCATTTTTTGTTGTGAAATGTAATCTAATATTAACACTAGTGTTCTGACTTCAATCAAAGAGGACTTTTTCAACTCTGTGGGGCTCCTTTTCTGGCACTACATGATGTGAAAGACTTATTTTGTTTTGTGAACGTTTAATTATGAAAAATGGAAATCTTTTTCACCATTAAAAAACTAAATGTAATGTAATTTTGTTCTATTGTGGTTTGAATAAAATGGCCTGCATAGACTCACAAGGAGTGGCACTATTAGGAGGTGAGACTTTGCTGGAGGAAATGTGTCACTGGGGGTGGACTCTGAGGTGTGAGAAGCTCAAGCCAGGCCCAGTGTCATTCTCTGTTCCTGCTTCCTGTTGATCCAGATATAGAGTTTTCAGTTCCTTCTCCAGCACCATGTGTGCCTTCAGACTGCCATGGTTCCTGCCACAACAACAATGGAATAAACCTCTGAACTATAAGCTGGCCCCAGTTAAATGATTTTCTTTATAGGAGTTGCTGTGGTCATGGTGTCTCTTTACAACAATAGCATCCTTAAGTAAGGCAGGTTCAAAGACTGATAAGAACCTCACAGATGGAAAAAAAAAAAGGCAGAAATATATGTCCATTTTACTTGTGAATACTAAGAAAAGATTTTCTAAATAAAAGACAAGACCAATGGGTATTAAAAGTAACATGATCAAGTGTTAGCACCAGGAATGCAAGGATCGATAGTATTAAAGCATCAAACAGAATTTTTTAGTCTGATGGTTCATTTTCAAAGGAGCTGCCTGTTTAGGTCCAGATATGAATCAACAGAAAACACTTGACCCCGGAGAATACTGCTGCTCTAACTATTCCCCACACACTCAAGTTTCACTAAGCTCCTCCCTTGAAGCTAGAAGTTTATAGTAGACAATTATGATGCAAGACAATGATGCTGATAAACAATGAACAATAGAGATGAGCCCTCACTTTTTTTTTTTTTTTGAAAATGTAAGGGACAGAGGGGAAGATAATACCTAAGCAATGTGCAGCATTTTGCTTTCCTGATCGTCAAAAAAGGAAGGAAAAGTCAGGCATTCATGTTTCACAAACTCAAACTAGGTTGGTGGTTGAATCTGCAAGGTCCTTAAGTAAACTGCCTGGTTGATTTCACTACTATAAGCCTCGACTGCTCTTATTATGAAATGCAGGTGTTTTTCTTATGAAGTGGGGATCACTTTTTATTACAGAATTACCATATGATCCATCAACTCTACTTCTAGGATATGTCCAAATGCATTGAAACCAGGATCTTGAAGCCCTTATCCGGTGCAACACTCGTCATGATTGATCAAATACAGAAGCAATCCAAGTGTCTGTTGACAGAAGAAGAGATAAATGAAACACAGTACAAACACCCCCAGATAGTACTCAGCTTTGTGAAGAAAGAAAGTCTGCGTTTGTAAAATGAGGGAGCCTGGAGGACATTGGTCAGTCAATTAAACCTGTAGTAGAAGGATTCTGCCTCTGTGATGAGCTAAAAAAGCCACACATAGAGAGGCAGAGCATGTAAGAGCATAAAGCATGTAAAACCACAATGGATCCCAAACAACGGCTGGACCACCTCCCCATTTGAAAGTCTGGCAGTGCAAAACATTGACAAGGAGCACCCAGAGCTTTAAACCTTGCTAGTGGCAGTGGTGAGTCATGGGTAAGGCAGATGGTGTGGTCATCCCTGGCACAGGCTGTTAGGGGCCGGTACATCATCTTCAGAGAGATTGAAATAATAATAAGACAGTCAAGTTTTGGAGGGAAAGAGCAGGTTGGGAATTGAACCCAGGTTTTTCCACATGGCAGACATGTACCATGCCACTGAGTTGTACCCTTCGCTTCCTGCCTTTGTTATCAGTACATGCTGCCAGTTTTAAACATTAGAAAATACTTTCATCTGAAAAGATATCATATTGATCTTAGTGCTAAATGATTGCTGAAGCTATTCTTACATTATCATAATACACATATAAGGTCCCAATGAATATGCTCTTATGAGTTATTCTTTGATAACCACTGCCTGTTCCTTAGTAGTCTGCTCCTCCTTGCAGAATTTAACTCTTTTTGAAAGATGAACTGTATTCTGTTATGTGTATATAGAACGCCTTTCCCCACCCCACTCCCATTTATCCACTGATGAACATGTAGGTTGAGTCTGTATTTAGCTTTGGAGACAGTGATTCACTATGTAGTCCAGATTGCCTGAAACACATTATTTGCTCAGGCTGGCCTTGAACTCATGGAGATTCTTCCGCCTTAGCCTCCCAAGTGTTAGAGTTACAGGCATAAGCTAAAGACTCTATTTTGGATATTGTGAATAAATATGGAATGCAGATAATCTCTTTCACATATTGATTTGATTTCCTCTGAGTATTTAACCAGTAGTGCTCACCAGACCCTTATGTGTGAGATTATATATGTGTGTATTCATGTGTGTGTGCATATGTATAAGTATGTACACAGTTTTTGAGGAAATTTCAGGCTGTACAGCTTCCACATGCTTGCACTAGTTTACATTCCAAAACCACCAGCTAAGAGTTGGTCTTTCTCTATATTCTTTCCCAAATTTACCTCTTTTTTTTTTTTTTTTTTGACAGCAGGCAATCTTATTGGGATGAGTGATTCTTACTTTCCCGTGTGTCTGTGTTGGCCATTTGTGTGTTTTCCAATGAATGTCCCTTCATGTCATCTGCAAACAGGGGCAGTTTAATGACCCACTTTCCAATGTGAAACCCCCTTTATTTCTTTCACTTGACTAATTGTCATGGCTAGGGTTTCTACTCCTGGGCCCAATAGAACTGGTAAAAGCAAATATGTCTGTCTGTAACTATCTCTTTCACTCCCCCACTTTGTTTAGGGTGCTACGTAGAATATATCATTTCCTCTTAAGAATTCTGAAACCCATCCTCGGCACTTTCCACCTTCAGAAATTGCTGTTAAGAAATCAGATCTTGGGATCACAGAGATGGTTCAGTGGCAGAGGCAGCAGCTTGACAGCTGCCAAAGCTGGTGACCTGGGTTCAGCACCCAAAATCCACGTGGTGGAAGCAGAGAACCAACACCCATGTGGTTCTCTGACTTTCATGTCTGCACTAGCACACAAATACACACGCATGCAATAAATAGAAAAAACTTAAAATCTTTCAAAAAGAATTCATATGCATATATATATATATATACATTTTTGATCTCT